ATCAATTCACAAAATCAACTCACTTCACACCCTACTCTGATTCTCCAAAGATTGATAATGAAAAGGTTGAAAACAAACCTGGAGGCCCAAGTAGGATCTAGGAGGAGTGAGCAGAGGGCGAGGGAGGCTCACCTCCACTTCTTATCATACCACTCGAGTCCATTTCTTTCAAAACATCATTCTTAACCTTAGGATCAATTGAAAGAGTGAGTTGATCCTCTCCATCTCTCAAAACCAGAGTTCCCTCATTAACATCGATTAAGGCCTTGGCGGTGGCAAGGAAGGGGCGTCCTAGTATGAGTGGCATATCCGCATCTTCATTGATATCAAGCATAACAAAATCTTTCGGATAAAAGAAATTGACAAATCTCACTAGGACGTCCTCCACAATACCCCTAGGACTAATGAAAGAACGATCGACCAATGTGACACTAAGCCTAGTGGGCTTTAATTCACCCAAATTCAACTTTCTAAAAATCTTGTAAGGCATCACATTAATGCTTGCTCCTAAGTCCGCCAATGAGTTTTCTATATGATGATTTCCAATGCAAAGAGGTATAGTAAAAATACTTGGATTCGGTTGCTTTTTAGGCAACTTGTTGAGGATAAAGGCAGAGCACTCCTCACCTAAGGTGACATTGGCGAGGTCTTCATATTTTGGATTCTTGGCGAGAAGCCCCTTGAGGTATTTGGCATACCTAGGCAGGGGCACCATGGCCTCCAAGAATGGAATGGTGATGTGGAGCTTCTTGAGCATATCCATGAATCCACCACACTCCTTAAAGGAAAAGCATTGCAACCGGCATTTTGATCTTTGGGGTTGACAATAGTTTGAGAGGGTAGGGCTCCCCTTGGTCTCTTGGTGAGGATCCCGACGAGACTACCAATTTGCACCTCCAAGTTTTGAAGGCTTGCTTGATGGCTCCTCAATCTCGCATCAACCAAAGTAAAATTTGTTGTTGCCACATCCATAAATTGTTCAATCTTCTCAAACTTTTGAGTGCTCGTGGTCACGAAGGTGGTCACAAGGTCTTCAAGTTTTGCAAACTTATCGGGTTGTTGGAACCCTTGACCACCTTGAGATTGAAACGGTTGTTGGAAGTTAGATCCTTGGAATTGCGGCCTTTGTTGAATGAAAGTAGGCCTTGGTTGATAATTTCCCCTCGGTCCTTGGAAACCGGGTGGTCTTGGGTTGGTAGGAGAAGACCAAGAGAAATTGGGATGATTTCGCCACCCTGGATTGTAAGTGTTGCTATAGAGGTTGTTCCCTCTAGCATTGGCAATGAAACTCACTTGCTCCTCGGGGGTGCTTGATTCCTTCATCATTTACCAATCAGAAATCTCGTGGTTGGTACTTGAACACCAATCACATGCCATTACCAGCCTCTTCCCATGCTTCTTGTCCTCTAGGAGTGCATCAATCAAACTATCAATCTTAGCTTCAAGTGGGGGACTCGCTCCAGACTTTGCACTCCTCTTGCGGTGCTTCTCTTTCCAATTCTCGTCAAACCCCAATCATAACCTTTACTTGCCATGTCTTCAAGCAACTCGGTCACTTGGGGTAGAGTCATGTTCATCAGTTTCCCTTGACATAAGGAGTCAATGAGGATCTTGTCGTCTTGGTGGAGACCACCATAGAAGGTTTCAATCTGGAATTGCTCCTGGAATCCATGATGTGGGAATTGGAGGAAGAAGTCAGAGTACTTTTCCCAAGCATCCTTCAATGTCTCATCTTCCTCTTGCTCAAAGTGGGCGATCTTCTTGCGCCACTCCGCCGTCTTTGAAGATGGCAAATACCAAGTCATAAACTTGTTGAGCATGTCATCCCACGAGGTGATCGAGAGAGCCATTTTGTTGAGCCATCGAGATGCATTCCACCATTTGACATGATTTTTCGCCCTTTCGTCCAACTTTCGACTCCTGGGTTGGTTACACCTGCCATAGTCTGAAAAACACCAAAATGAGGCAAAACCCGACATAAAATCAAACCTCTCGGAGTAAAAATGCCTCAAACGACTAAGGAAACCGAGGGTAAAAAGTGTACAGATGAGCCCGAATCATGCATCTAAGACCAAATTGATCGCCACATCTGCACGTGATCTGCACGTTTGTAGACTGAATATGGAGGCAGACTAGGGTTATGACAAACACATGAACTCAATTCTCTTACCTTTTAAAACTTGCTTAGTTTTTGTTAAAGAGATCTGAAAAACCATGGGTGCAAGTCTTTCAGTCAAAATATTTCAAGTACGTGAGCGAGATCCCAGTCACGAAGTCCATAACACATGCGTCCATTCTTCGGAGGTGAATACGATGGGCTTGGCCAATTATGACGATGGGTATGCATATATGCATGAAGGATGTGTTCCATACAAATTGCTGGGTGGATAGTTGAATCAATAGTAATGTGATCCTTCTAGACCATATCTTCAAGGAGGCGACGAGTTTTGTACCAACCAATCTATTGCAGACTTTGCTACTTATCAAGGTGAGTACGATGTCCCTATGTAGTCACTTTACTTACCTGATGATTTTATTTTGAATGTTATCAATATCCAAGTGTTATGGGAGGGGTCGGGGAGGATCAACCAATTTGGGGGCTCGAAAGAGACGTACGAGTTGGCTTGCATTCAGGAGGAAGCGACACCAACACAACCCTGACATGACATTTGAAGCTAGAATTGACCGGTGTGAGTCACTCATTATCTCTGGCTAGTTGGTCGCGAGAGACTACTCACAAACTTTGAACAACGACGTCGACATCTAGCTCAAATAGCAATTTGCACAGTCTAGAACAATGAACTAGAATTAGTCTTGCATGTGTTGTGGGACTACTTTTGTCATGTTAACTTGGATGCGAATAATTCCATATTTTGAGCATCAACTATTTTTCAGAGCATTTTTACATGATTGGATGCATCAACACTTTCGACAACAACACATTACCTTAGAGTTTGGCATTACTTGGCAAGTCTCTACATGCAAGATCACAACAACTTAAAACTTTTTACAATGAGTCCAGACTTAGATAACTGTAGTGAGGACTACCATCAATAAAGATAGACTTAAACATAAATTGAATTCCCCCATGAGAATGGAGAGGGAGATCTCCTGGATATCGCTCGCTCTCTAGTGGGTAAACCACAACTCAGGCGATTCACTCGACACTTCCTCAGGCTGTGCAACACAACATGCAGTGTTTGTCATGAATGTAGGCAGTGCTCCATTATTCGAGATCACATAGGACACTGTCTAGCAACGTTCGTCATGAATTTGGGTATGTGCTCCATTATCCGGGCGGACGTGAAAGGCGCAATAGAGAGCATTGAGTTAGCTTGGAGTGTTGGGCACATGCGAGTTCAAGTGCAGGCTGACTCATAATGCACGGTTCAGTTGCTGCAGAACACTATACAAGTGATCACCAACATTCAACAATCATTCATTGATTTCAGAAGTTAGTAGACAAAGATAGGGAGGTCGTTAGTATTCCATATTTACAGAGAGGCTAACAAATGTGCATATTACTTAGTCAAGAACACTCTCTATGTTTGGTTTTTATGTCGTGTAGGTGTATACCCAAAATTCATGACGAGAGCCCTGTACAGTTGTATGCAAGGTTGTCAACCCGATTAAGCTCGTTGCCCGGTCGAGCAAGTGAGTTGAGAGTTTAATGATCCGATCACTTTAGATCGATTTAGGCCGAATATATAAAAAAATTATTATATTATTCATATATTTATAAATTATATCTTGATCTCATCTAACATAAGAGCAATAACATGTTAACATACACCATTACACCAAAATAACATGTCGTATTTGGATCCAACATATAGTTAAAATTCACATACACTTATATAACATGAATATTCAAATGTTTAATTTAGATCTCCAAATATTGAGTTAGGCGAAAAGAAAAACCAGAAAATAAACGCATGCATTTCACAAACCAAAGGAAAAAAAACACAATTTTACCTCCAACTCGATACCCTGCAATGGTGGACCCAACAAATATGTGTTGAATCGGGTCAGAATCAAAGCGGATCAACCAATCGGTCGAACGGTTGACAACCTTCGTTGTATGACATTTATTCATAAAATTAGGGTGCTGTTTGGTAGGGGTGAACAAACACACCCGCAAACCGACCCACCCGTCCAAACCGACCCAACCCACCCGTATTTATCGCTAAAACGAAGGTTTTGGGTTGGGTGAGGGGTTTCTTTTGTACAACCCGCCTCTTTTGGGTTGGATTTGGATTTTAGATTACACAACCCGTAGAACCCGACCCAACCCGTGTTCCAACTATTAGTATGAGTTCGGATCTAAAAAAATATTTATGTTGTATATAGTCATATACTTATGAGAAAATTAAGATATTTCGGCATGTTTTTCTCTCATGGTCTCCCTAATCTAATGCATTCTTCGACTTAAAGTTTAGACATAAATTGAATATAGTTATGATTCACGTAATCCTTTTTCTTGTGTACAATTTTAATAGAATAACATATTATGGATGCGTTTGTTTATAACATTTTTAGCCTATTTCAACAAATATTGTGAAAAAAACAAGACATATGTTGAAGTAGATCACATTTTATTAAAATTCAAACAACATTTGTAAATTTTGATACCTTTCACCTCGGTTCATTCGTTTGAAATTTTAATTAGTTATAAAATATTTTTATGATATAGAATAATTATATATTTTATGTTGAGTTGGGTTTTTACTTAAAAATATCGCCAACCCGACCCAACCCAATTAGAAACAAACCGTAGGGTTTAAATTTTTTTGGGTGGGTTTGGATTTGATATTTCCCAAACCGTAGTGCATTGGTCGGGTGATTAAAATGACTAAACCCGAACCACCCGACCCATGTACACCCCTACTGTTTGGGTCCATTTTATTAAGAAAAAACTATTTTTTTCTTTCATTCGTTTTCTCATCTGTATGTATAAATATAAAAACCATAAGGTCTTATGAATAACCCTCAGCTCCCTCTCCGTAACTCTACTTTTTTTCTTCCCCTCCTTTCTCTCTCTCTACTTCTCTGAAACTCGTTGAGCAGATTTTCTTCCTTCAATGGATCTGCCGTCTCCTTCCCCTCTCCCTCAAGATCCTTGAAATCCCCTAATCCTGAATCAATTTTTTTACCCTTTCTCGATTCAATCGGCTTGAAAGTAGCTGAGGACGGGTGGATAGTCTTGCTCTTTTGTACTGACAAATTAGTATTTCACCCTTTTCTTCCCCTTTTGCTTTCTGCAAGGGGGAGAAAATGAAAGTCCCTTGCTGCTCAGTGTGCCAGAACCGCTACAATGAGGAAGAGAGGGTTCCTCTGCTGCTTCAATGCGGCCATGGGTTTTGCAAGGAATGCTTGTCCAGAATGTTCTCTGCTTCCCAAGACACAACCCTCGTCTGCCCTCGCTGCCGCCATGTCTCGGTGGTTGGGAACTCGGTTCACGCCTTGCGGAAGAACTACGCCGTCCTTGCTCTTCTTCACTCCCCTTCCTCAGCTGCCATGGCACCCAATTTCGACTGCGATTACACGGATGATGATGACGACGAGGATGAAGGAGGAAATGAAGAGGAAAATGAGGCGGAGAGATGCAGCCGAGGCTCTCATGCTTCCAGCTCCGGTACCTGCGGGAGGCTGATTGAAGTCGGGGTTCATCAGGAGGTGAAGTTGGTAAAGAAGATTGGGGAGGGGCGGAGAGCTGGAGCGGAGACTTGGGCGGCAGTGATTGGCGGTAGCGGCCTTGCAGGTACCGGAAAGTGTAAGCATCGTGTGGCGGTGAAGAAGGTGGAAGTCGGTGAAGGGGTGGAGGTGGAGTGGGTGCATGCTCAGCTGGAGAATTTGCGGCGAGCTTCAATGTGGTGCAGAAATGTGTGTACTTTCCATGGCGTTGTCAAAGTGGATGGATGTATAGGGATCGTGATGGATAGATGTTGCGGGTCTGTTCAGTCCGAGATGCAGCAGAATGAAGGAAGGCTCACTCTAGAACAAATTCTAAGGTTCCTTGTTAAACCATTTTTCCTTACATAACTTCAGTGGCATTTGATTATAGTGCTGTTTTACTGGCCAGGTTGTTTCTTGCTACTGAACTGGAACAATACATGATGTCGATAACTTGATTAGTGAATGAGCACAGGTTTAGCTTTCAGCTTTGTTCCGGAGCATGAGAGGTTGTTTTGCTTATTCATGATAAATGATTAATGCGGAACATAGATATGTTCCCTTTTCCGTGAAGTGATATATAACTAGTATAGTTACAAGGTCCATTGTACTACCAGTTATTATCTTAAGGCACACTATTGCTTTAATGTGCAGTCTTGGAGGTCTTAGGCACCAGGAACCGTGCTATTTGATATTTGGAGTACTATTCCCTCATGTCTTAGGTAGGAGTAAAATTTTGGACGCTAATTTTCTTATAATGGCATGTCTGAGTTTATTAAACATGCTGAAATTAGGGGACTTTTTGTACCAAGGTACTCTGATGGGGTATTATGAGGTTTCTAGCTAATTCTGTATTAATGCAAGATTTCAGAAGAGTGCAGAGGTATTGATAAGGAATATTCAACAACATTAGAGTGGTGCGTTGGTTATAGTCTGTTAGCAGAGATTTGATATATTTGTCGGCTAGAAAACCTTTCGATGGGAAGGTTGGCGCATGTTTGTTAGTTACTGGCAATTGGTAATTGGTAGAGCAAGCAAAATATCTTTCACTATGTACCTTTCTGCGAGAGTATTGTTGCAACCTTCAAATATATGCTTGTGGGATCCTTCTGCCATAAGTTGGGTTTAATTGATATGGATATATGGGGCGATGGTGGAAATTGAGTATTTCTCTTTTTTTTTTTGGGGTTTTGAAGGTGAAACTCATGCCTTACTGATGCCTTGCTTTGATAGTTCTTGATGCCACTCATCTTTATGCATATGGTACTTTTGACAATACACATTAGCTACTTTTTCTGGGCTAAGAAGACTCGCACCTGTGCAAGTTTTTTTTGTTGGGGAGCGTGGGTGTATCAAAGTTTCTAGGTATTGTTTTATTTAAATAATTTCTTCCTGGTTGTTGGGAGAAGGTGTTTGCAGTGTAATAAATTGGTCTGTGTTAGTTATATGGACTTGCAATCTAGCTGCATATTCAAAGCTTTGCTAGCGTACATGGAACTTTTATGTGAAGTATTTTAAAGAGAAACTTTTTTGTTGTTTGATTAATAGTGGGTTATCCTCTATTAGCAGCATGTCACATGAATGAACTGCATCCCTTTTTAAGCCTACACATAACCTATAATTAGAATCTTAATATGTCAAATTTAGTTTAGGACAGGTCATTGTCGCAATACTTGGGAATTGGAAGCTTGTGATCTGAATTTGTTATTGGCTGGATTCTCTGAAATTTCCTCCTGGCTGCTGTGTTCTTAGGGTTTAAAAAATAACACTCAGGTGGTTTCACTATATGGAGCAATTATGTTGGCTTTTTGGTAAGGTTTACAATTTAAAAGGGGGTGATGGTCTCAACTTAGTGAAAGACCATGGGTTGTTGGTGGCGATTGTGGACATTAGTGCTGTTAAGCTCTGACAATTTATTATTGATACAGATAAAATGATGAATGGTATACAAAACATGGGATATTTGTTGAGATCACTGAATTTCAATAGAAGCTTTGGATCTTTTCTTTATTTATCCCAAGTTGGTCATGAACAATCTAAGATTGAATTACTTGATCTATGAATAGTATCTACTCTATAGCAACAAGATAATATATTAATTGTTTTTAAACCCAACAGGATGTGATTTTAATAGTTCAGTGTTCTATTATGTTTATGGAAAAGGTTTCTTGTTGTAGTGTGACGGTGTTGCTATTGTTTTGATGTATCTATCGTTTGCCAATTGTAGATATGGAGCAGACGTTGCACGTGGGGTTGCTGAACTTCATGCAGCAGGTGTTGTGTGCATGAATTTAAAGCCATCCAATCTTCTTTTGGATCCAAGTGGCCGCGCTGTAGTTTCCGATTATGGATTTGCTTCCATCTTAAAAAAACCATCTTGCCGGAAAGCTAGAGGAGAATGTGATTCTGCCAAAATCCATTCCTGCATGGACTGTACAATGCTCAGCCCACACTACACGGCACCAGAGGCTTGGGAGCCAGTCAAGAAGTCTCTGAATCTTTTCTGGGATGATGCAATTGGCATATCTGCTGAGTCAGATGCCTGGAATTTTGGCTGTACATTAGTAGAGATGTGCACTGGTTCCGTTCCGTATGTGAACTAATCCTTTCTTTTGAGTTTGCTATTTCTTTCTTCCTACTTGTTTTTGGCGCTCCATTTCTTTTTCCTATGAATCCTGATGCTAAGTTGGACAATCTTTGAGCAGGTGGGCTGGTCTGAGTGCAGAGGAAATTTATAGGGCTGTTGTTAAAGCTCGAAAACTGCCTCCTCAGTATGCCAGTGTAGTAGGTGTTGGAATTCCTCGAGAATTATGGAAAATGATCGGTGAATGCTTACAGTTCAAACCATCAAGGAGGCCAACTTTTAATGCAATGTTAGCAATATTCCTCCGTCATCTGCAGGAGTTGCCACGTAGTCCTCCTGCAAGTCCTGATAAGTAAGAAGTTAAAAATTCAGATTAATGAACACTCCTGTCTAATGCTTATTTTGGAGAACATCTTGATTCGAATCCAGTTAAAATTTAGATTCCATAATGTGTGCTTTGTTTGGTTTTCTGACCATGCATGTAAAGAGTAGTTCCCATTATGTACCGTCTATAGTGAAGAGAGATCTGATCTGACTATTGAATCATGCCTCTCTGACGTTGCAGTAATTATCTACAAACCCATGGCTCGAATGTAACTGAACCATCCCCACCATCTGACTTGGATGTTTTACCGGACAATCCAAGCCGTCTACATCAGCTCGTGGGTGAAGGGAATGTCATTGGTGTTAGGTTTGTTTACTTGTGCACTGGCTTATGTTTGATTTAATGTTGAGAAGCAAGGTTTGTGTTATCCAGTTATCATTTTCTAGTTCTCTATGGTATATTCTTCACTTTTTCATTGGTGCTTATTTGCTCGCCCTGCTTTCTTCTGGTCCAGAGATCTACTAGCAAAGGCTGCTTCAGGAAATAGTGGTGATTCAGTATACAGACTTCTAGAAGCACAGAATGCTGATGGTCAAACAGCACTTCACCTGGCTTGTAGACGTGGTAGTGCAGACCTTGTTCGGGCCATACTGGAGTACCGTGAGGCAAATGTTGATATCCTGGACAAGGATGGTGACCCACCCCTTGTATTTGCTTTAGCTGCTGGATCCCCAGGATGTGTGCATGCTCTAATTGGGAGAGGCGCTAATGTCAGATCCCGATTAAGGGAAGGTTTTGGTCCATCTGTCGCTCATGTTTGTGCCTACCATGGCCAACCTGACTGCATGCGTGTAGGTTCTTTATCGACCAGTTGTGCATGGTGAAGCCTTTTGCTTGCTTCGTATTTGATGAAACTATTCTGGTGTAAATGATAGGAGCTGTTACTTGCTGGAGCTGATCCTAATGCAGTGGACGATGAAGGTGAATCTGTTCTACATAGAGCCCTTGCTAAGAGATATACTGATTGTGCCATTGTTATACTGGAACATGGTGGCAGCGGATCAATGGCTTTTGTGAACTCAAAAAATTTGACGTAAGTTTGAATGCCTTCTTTCTTCCTTGATTATTATCTTAAGGGTTTCCTTTCTTCCACTAGTACGTTGCGAACTCGATGAAAGTTTGCATGTCAGGGTCTTGTAAATCGGGGGAGCTCATGCCTTTTATTTGGGAGTTACCTAGCTCCAGGAACAGATACCCGATGCTATCTATTATCTGGCACTAGTGCTTGTGGTGGTCTGTCTGATGTTAGTCACCGAGGATAAGTATCCGAGATGTGAAAAAATCTGATGTTAGTCTGTCTGATGCTAATGCTGGAAATATAATTGTTTGAAAAAATCTGATGTTAGTCACCTAAGGAACTCAACTTACCTGTAATATGCATGATTTCTCATGTTGGTGCTTAGTGTATCCTATAACCTGCCGTTTGAATCTATTTGTTTGCTGTTTCTTCGTCATTTTTGTTCTTTGCTCTTTAGCATTCTCAACTCTATATATTATATTTGACCTCAGGCCATTGCACTTGAGTGTTGCAACATGGAATGTCACTGTTGTCAGAAAGTGGGTGGAAGTTGCCTCCCCTGAAGAAATTGCTGAGGCTGTTGATATACCAAGCCCAGTTGGAACTGCTCTGTGTATGGCTGCAAGTTCCAAGAAAGATCATGAAATTGGTAACAGAAGAACCTGGAAGTCTGATTACTATTATTCATCAGAGTTTATTTTTGGAAGTTCTATTTAGCGAATCAAACTGCAGTTAATATGATGATACTGGTGCCTGGACTGATATTCGCTCATTGGATGGGTTTCTCCGGTTAATGTCATTAGGTCTTTTACTTATTTATAAGTCATTGATAGTTAGTCACTGCTCTCTTAGGTTTGGACATAAAAATAATTTTTTAATGTTTATGACAAGTGTAACCTCCTAGTTACCAAACATTGTCGTTGGATTTTTGGAAGGGCGTAGGAGGATAACGTTGCATGTTTAGGTCTTACTTCTGATGTCTTAGTATCTGGCCTAGGGACAACTTACTACTGTTTTAGCTGCTTTGGAAGCAAGGAGGATTGGCATTTCACTTATGTAGTCTCTCTCTTGATTAGCTTAATAATGTTTTTATATTTACTTTTTTTGCCCATGCAAGAGTCTCCCTGCCTTATTGTCGTAGTTCCCCATTGATGATATGAGTTAGTGAACGATTTTGGCAGAGCATTAACTCAAATTGCATTTAAGGTGGTTTTTTCCTTGGTGAATGTTCATTTAAGGTTTCAAGTGCATACAAGACACCATTATTGTTTATGAACTATTAATAATGAGTTTGTAATCCTAATAAAATGATTTATAAGGTTTACAAATGGACACTATATCCATGTTTGATAGCAAGGTTACAAACCATTTGCTAGGAAATTACAAATTCATTATAACTATTTACAAGCAACAATCATGTTGCATATGCACTAGAAATCTGGGTGTACCTTTTCTATGTACTTTTGTCTTTGTTACTTTAGTAATATCTTTTCTCTTTAGACCCTGCTCATTGCTCATGTCCATTTCACATTTACCATACGTTGTCCATTATTCCATCTGGCTTCTCGTGGTATACTTCTTCTATGTGATTCATGTTTGAATTATGTAGAAGGGAGACAACTAGTGCAAATTTTGCTTGCGGCTGGAGCAGACCCAACTACTCAAGATGCACCTCATGGGCGAACAGCCTTGCACACAGCTGCTATGGCTAACGATGTTGAGTTGGTAAAGGTGAGCTATATGAATACCGTGGTATCTGAGATCAAAGTTTAATGATCTCTTTGTATGCATCGTGCATCTGACGGAAGCATTTGTTTTCAAAATGAAAATCTGCATCTTCAAAGACTTATTTAATTTCTTGTAGTTCACTTATAATGTGGACTTAAGTGTTCTGTTATTTGTTAAATAGATAATTCTGGATGCTGGAGTTGATGTGAACATCAGGAACATGCATAACACTATACCTCTCCATGTAGCTCTGGCCAGAGGAGCAAAATCATGTGTCGGAATACTCTTAAATGCTGGGGCAAATTGCAACATTCAGGTTTTGTGGTTTCACACCTGATTTCCAGATTCTTATGATGTTATGAATCTGTCTAGCTTGAGGATATGTGGTAGTTTCTTTTGCTGGTAGCATAGCGTTATTTGTCTTTTTTCGGTCACTTATTGAATTTGCAACCATAACAATGGAGGTAATTGATGCTTGCGGCTCACCACATAATTAGTATATTGTCAGCAGGAACTATTTTTGTTATGATGTTCATTATTTTGTATGCTATGTGCTGCTCTTTTCTTGCTTTATTTGTTGTAACTTGCATTTCCTATGCTGTCTGTGGCAGGATGATGAAGGTGACAACGCTTTCCATATTGCTGCTGATGCTGCAAAAATGATTCGTGAAAATCTTGAATGGCTAATTATAATGCTCAGGAATCCTGATGCAGCCGTTGAAGCTAGAAACCACAGGCTAGTTACCTTCAACTGATAGTGTGGGGGGTTTCTTGCCTTAAATATCAAGAATTTCCTTATAGTTCTTGTTTTTGTCCTTATAAGGAGAGTGACCTTGGGGATTCAGGGTTGATAGGAACAAGAATGACTGATATCTGCTGCTGATGTTCTTTATGTACATTTTGGCGACAGTGGCAAGACATTAAGAGATTATTTGGAAACCTTGCCACGGGAATGGATTTCTGAAGACTTGATGGAGGCACTTCTGCTGAGGGGAGTATATTTGTCTCCTACAATGTAAGTGGAATATTTTTCGATCCTTTATCTTCAAATTGGAAGATGCTTGCATTTTGCATTTTATTTTGGCGGAGGCAATAGCATATTTAAGAAACATTTATTTATAACTTTGATTACATCCAGATTTGAAGTGGGAGATTGGGTGAAGTTTAAAAGAAGTTTGACTACTCCTGCAAATGGGTGGCAAGGCGCAAAACACAAGAGTGTGGGGTTTGTTCAGACAGTTGTAGACAAGGAAAATCTTGTTGTTTCATTCTGCACAGGGGAGTCTCATGTATTAGCAAATGAAGTGTGGAAGGTTATACCTCTGGACCGTGGTCAGCATGTCAAGCTGAAAACAGATGTCAAAGAGCCAAGGTTTTTCTCTTCTACCTCAACTCACTCTCTGGCTTAATATATTCTTTTAACCCGGGTATTCGTTTGCATGGCATTATGTTCCAGGACTATAGCTAAAGAGTTTGAGATATTTATCTCATCTACTCTTGTGGTTTGACTTTTTTCAATTGACTTGGTATAGGGCTATGGATCTCATACAATTAATTAAGGGTGGTGATGTCTTGGTCCTCATTTTGCTTGTTTTTTCGATCTGCTTCACTGTGGGCAAGTTACAGATGGTTATCATGAATATATGGACATGGACATCGAAGTATTCTTGCTTGTATCTATTTTGGTCTTCTTCATGGATACTCTTAGCATTGATAATTTAGTTTGCCTGTATGTAAAGAACATGTATATATGTATAGGGACTATATGTCTGAGATATAGCTGGGTATTCTTGTGCCACTTGCTTTGGAAGTGATCTTGCAGTGTGCTTGTATGGAAATGCCTTAGCGGCATTGCCTTGATATGAGTTCTTGTACTGTTTACAACTGAATGGGACTTGGTAATGCATGAGAAAAAGTGGTATGGGCTTAATATGGTGCGGAATAAGTCAAAAGAAGTTGTTAACATCCTTTGTTCAGCTTATGTCTGAAAGTGGGATAAGCATTATCTAATTGGTGGGTTGAAGTTTCAGATGATTTTCATATGGTTGTGAAGCATTGAAATTCTATTTTAGCAAGTAAATGTTGCTTACGAAATAGCCTGATGTTTCAACATGCACGTTTGCTATGAAATCAATTATGTTTATCTCTGTGAAATTCTGAACTTATATTTGGCAACTTAACTCGTATGTTTATCAGATTTGGATGGCGTGGTCAGTTACGTGACAGCATTGGAACTGTACTTTGTGTTGATGATGATGGGATTCTGCGGGTTGGATTCCCGGGAGCATCTCGAGGCTGGAAAGCTGACCCTGCTGAGATGGAAAGGGTTGAAGAATTCAAGGTTGGTGACTGGGTTCGTATTCGCCCCTCACTAACAACAGCCAAGCATGGTTTAGGATCAGTAACGCCAGGAAGCATTGGCATTGTCTATTGCATTAGACCGGATGGTAGTCTTTATCTGGAGCTGAGTTATCTTCCACAGCCATGGCATTGTGAACCAGAGGAAGTCGAAGCTGTTTCTCCTTTCAGGGTATGTCAAGAAAATTTGTGTTTTTTCCTCCCGATTATTCTTTCATAGTTCTTGTGAAATGATTTAGTTACCAGAAAACCAAGAGCTCTATGACTTTTTGCATTGCAGATTGGTGACCGGGTATGTGTGAAGCGTTCTGTTGCTGAACCTAGATATGCTTGGGGCGGTGAGACTCATCACAGTGTGGGAAGGATTAGTGAGATAGAAAATGATGGTCTATTAGTAATTGAAATACCAAACCGACCTATACCCTGGCAAGCTGATCCATCGGACATGGAAAAAGTCGAGGATTTCAAGGTGATGTATTGCCAACTATTTCCCATGTAGTGATTCTTAGTCCTTTTTCTCTTTCTGATCTTTTTCTCTATGAACAGGTTGGAGATTGGGTCAGGGTGAAGGCTTCAGTTTCTGCTCCGATATATGGATGGGAGGATGTTTCACGGAACAGCATTGGTGTGATTCACAGTTTAGAAGATGATGGCAACATTGGTGTTGCCTTCTGTTTCAGAAGCAAGCCCTTCTCTTGCTCTGTGACAGATGTGGAGAAGGTCCCTCCCTTTGAGCTAGGACAAGAAGTACGGGTGATGCCATCTGTTGCTCAGCCACGACTTGGGTGGTCAAACGAAAATCCTGCAACTGTTGGCAAAATTGCAAGAATTGACATGGATGGAACTTTGAACGTATGCTCCCTTTAGCCATCATTCCCTGATAATTACAGGATTTGTCAACTTGGTGGCAACCTCATTATAAAACAGAACTTGTGCTTTTCGATTGCTAGGGATTCCAGTTCTCAAAATAATTTGTCCCTTTTCCAATCTTTTTGTAGGTAAGAGTTGCTGGCAGACGAGGTTTATGGAAAATGTCTCCTGGAGATGCAGAACGACTCTCGGGATTTGAAGTTGGTGACTGGGTACGGTCCAAACCAAGCCTAGGGACAAGACCGAGTTACGATTGGAATACTATCGGGAAGGAAAGTTTAGCTGTGGTGCATAGTGTGCAGGAGAACGGCTATCTGGATCTAGCTTGCTGTTTCCGAAAAGGAAGGTGGAGTACTCACTACACAGATGTTGAAAAGGTTCCTAGTTTCAAAGTAGGGCAGAATGTTCGGTTCCGAACTGGACTGGTCGAACCAAGGTGGGGTTGGAGAGGTGCTCAGCCTGATTCACGAGGCATATTAACCAGTGTTCATGCTGATGGAGAAGTTATGGTTGCTTTCTTTGGGCTATCAGGTCTATGGAGAGGTGATCCTGCAGATCTGGAGACTGAGCAACTGTTTGAAGTGGGTGAATGGGTGAGATTGAAGGAAGATGGAAGCATTTGGAAGTCCATTGCCCCAGGATGTGTTGGTATTGTCCAGGGTTTAGGTTACGACGGCGGGGATAAATGGGATGGAACTACTTATGTCGGGTTTTGCGGTGAACAAGAAAAATGGGTGGGCCCTAGTTCTCATCTGGAAAGAGTGCAGAGACTGGTAGTTGGCCAGAAAGTTAGGGTCAAACTCTCTGTTAAACAGCCCAGATTTGGCTGGTCAGGCCATAATCATGGAAGTATTGGAACAATAGCAGCTATTGATGCTGATGGGAAGTTGAGAATATATACGCCAGCGGGTTTAAAGACTTGGATGCTCGATCCTTCAGAAGTGGAACAGGTCGAGGAGGAGGAACTTCAAATTGGGGACTGGGTTAAGGTTAAGAAATCGGTTTCAACCCCAAGTCACCAGTGGGGGGAGGTGAATCATTCAAGCATAGGAGTGGTGCATCGGATGGATGATGGGGAGCTATGGGTTGCATTTTGCTTCGTGGAGAGGCTATGGCTATGCAAGGCATGGGAAATGGAAAGAATTAGAGCATTCAAGATAGGGGACAAGGTTAGGATCCGAGACGGACTGGTCAGCCCTAGGTGGGGATGGGGAATGGAGACTCATGCAAGTAAAGGCCAGGTGGTTGGAGTTGATGCAAATGGCAAGTTGAGAATTAAGTTCCAGTGGAGAGAAGGGAGGCCATGGATTGGGGATCCTGCTGATATTGCCCTTGACGAGAGTTAAAACCTCTGTACATATACGTATCTATCTGGAAACCTGGTTCATGGGTTTCCTTCCAGGTTTGCTACTGAATCATAGCTGTGAAAAGCTGCCTGTGCTATTGTTGTTCATAATGGAGGTACACTGTATGGGGAAGAAACCAGGGGTTTCATGCTGTTGATTAGAGGGATGGGATACAAGGGAACAGCGGGCAACTCTAGTACCTACCTTTTGTATTATCTTATTAAACTATTGACGGCATTTTGTGAGTAGTTTATATAAGTTTTTTGGGGTATATAATATTTGTAGTTTTGTACAAATTTGAACCCCTGTAAATATTTTGCATGACTAATGATTTCCTTCATCTATCCAATGTGCGCATCGTTTTTTGTGGCTTTTTCTGCTAGACCGTCCTTGGTAAATGTAGGCATTTCTAATATGGACATATTAGAAATGTAAATAATAATATTGACGAGTATCTTGTTTATTTAGAAGTTCTTAGCATGGTTGTCACCTGGTATGGTATGCTGGATGGTTGAATTGTTGTCGGTCATGAAACCAGTATGACAACTATTGGTATGATCGACATTATCAATTTATCAATTCTAAGTAAAATCACATCGTTTAACAAATTTAATTAATAAATATTATTTTATAATTTCATATTATTTGTTGGATTGTATAAATATGTAGGTATTGCCGTTAATTGTCGTATTTAGTATGAGTATTTGTTATTTCATTTTTAATATCAGATTTTATTTAAATATGAACATGGGTTGTAAGTAAATTGTCCTCCAATGTGTAATATATTAAGATTTCTTTGATGTTAATGATTTTTCACATTTACATATTTTATTAAACAGGCATGAACCGACACAATGCGTTTGTACCACAGCTCGAACATTCCACTTGCTAAACCAAATGCAATGGTATAAACTGGTTTGACAACCTTGATTTTTTGGGAGTTACTAATTAACGCCCTAAAATTTAAAAACCATCGCCCTAAATTAGACTGAGTTTACATATTTACCCCTAATTCAATATATCGTCGCCCTAACCCTTGCTCTGCGCTCCACAAGGACGAAAAAGAAAAGAAAGAATCCCATGCTGGCCACTGCCACCGCCGCCTGGTCAACGCCGACGATGACTTCCGATGTTATTCGTGGCTGCCTCATAGCTCCCCTTCAGTTCCCCAACATCGTCGGGATTCAGCCGGAAGAACACCCGTAAACCACCTGCTTGTCGCTTCCGGCACCGGAGAATCTCCACCAATTCTTCCAGGCACCACTCCGAATTGGCTTAGTTCTTCGAGAACACCACCACCGCCGTCCTCGATTCTTGAATCGTCGATGTAGGTCAAGATCCGCCGCCCCCGCAGCGCCGTGTAAAAATAACTCGTGAAATTGTCCCCTACCATCAAGCTCAGGAACACGTCGTACTTGTGCACCATCGGGACTAACTCGGCGGGGACGACATCGTTTGAATTGGATCCGACCGGCGGCGGCTGCGGACGGTCACGAGTGAAATGGAGGATGATTTGGGTGAGAACGAATAGATGGATCAGTACAAGGACTATGTAGATCCACATATTGATAACAGAAATGGTTGCAGAGAATGGGGAATGGCGAATAGTGAATCAAATGCCTATATAAATTTTTCTAAAAAATTAGTTTTGGGAGGACGACAACTTGGCTGTACTGGATAGTCCGAATGAACGCGGCGCAGCTGTGGAGGTGGCGGCGACGACGACGGGTGGAGGCGCGGAGTAGAGCAAAATTAGGGATTGAGGGCTGTACGACCGTTTTAACAATTAGGGGTAGTGTGGTCTGTTTGGGTAAAGTTAGGGCGATTTTTTTTAAAAATTAGGGCGTTAAATAGGAATTCAGGATTTTTAGACTGTGGGTTTATATCATTTGTATTTATTTATGGTGTTATAATTTTGACAGTTTAATTCCTTGAATAGGTTCATTACTATTTTGTTTTACTTGAGCCTCACTTTTTTTTGTTTCTCTCTTCAAGTTTGAATGCATCTCCATTCTTTCTAGACTTCTCAGAATTCCAAAGAGTTATGCGGGGCCTTCATCCGCCTGACGTCAACCGTCACAAACTTGATGTGATCATTAGATTTTTTCTCCATGCAATTATTACCCTCGAAATTGGGGCCTGATTTAACAATTGGGCTTCCGTCCTCATCAAGCTGACGTGATTGTTGGGCTTCCCCGTGCCCCCCCCCGTCTTTGGTTCGAAATTCAAATTTCAAATTTCGAACCAAAGCGGTTACTTCCCCGCTTCCCGCCTCTTCTCTCTCTCATCCCCCACTCCCTATATATTGGCCCATCCATCCTCACTTCCTCATTAATCACAAAAAGTCTCCCTCTCTCATCTTTCTCTCTCTAGCACTCCCCGATTGTCCCAACGTAATTTGCTGCCTTTCCATCGCTGCGTCTCTTGCCCGCGCGCCTCATCATGTCTTCTTCCCTACAACCAGCATCTTCGGCTCCTGCGTCTTCAGAAGCCGCTCCCCCCGCCGTTGGTACACCTCATTTCTCGTTCTTAAAACTCTGTTTTGCTCCCCTATGCGCATGCCCTAGAGCGCATGACCTACAATTGTGTGAGTTGTATTAGGTTTGCCATTAAGTACTCCCTGTGCGCCCTCAATTGCTAGTCGAGTGCTACCCAATGATGCCCTCGCGCTTTATGCTATCCTGACACGCGATAGCTTAGATGAGTCGATGATTCGGCTACTGAACCTGGAGTTGACATCTTCCTCCTCTTCTAACTCAAGCACTGGTGCACCTAGCGAGTACGTACTCCGGACTTGGGAGAAGTTATGGCCGCCAGGTTATATGCCGGAATATATTTTCGGGATGTCCCTGGAAGAGGCTGGTCTGCCCCATCGTTCCATGCAGCTACTTGTGCGCCTGGAGAAGCTAATAAGGGTCGCCCAATGCCTGCGGCATGGCACTAAGCCCATGCGCCTTCTGCTGCGCGGATTGGTGTATGCGGAGAGTGTTGGCTAGGGATTTACCAGGAATTTTTCCGCTTCAGGCTCCGTTTTCCTGTTGATCCCATCTTAGAAGGCGTGTTGAATCTGTGTCAATGCCCTCTTAGGCACCTCTCCCCTACCATTATCCTCTACACCGTTCTTTTTCGCTATCGGTGTCGCCAACACAACATCCAACCCTCATTTAGAATTTTCTGGCATTTTTTACCATGACAAAGAGTTCCAACTGCCTAATTTTACAAAGGCGTGTTGCTGATCGAGTCTACCACTTGAGAGTTTGATCAACTCACGAAGGAAAATGTCCAGGTTATCTCGGATACTGCGCACCTCAAGGCAGAGCTCACCGTTGCACAAGAGAAGCAGATGGAACTACCCAGCGCCCGTGACAAGGCGCAAGATGAGGCGGAAGCATGGGCTGCCAAGCTTAACGACGCCCTTGCGGCGGAGCACACTAAGATTAAGGCTAAGGTGGAACAGGAGTGCCAGTTGTGGTTTGAGGCGCAAGCCACTATCGAGAAGACAGAATTTGAGAAGTTGCACAGGAGCTTCATGAGAGGCAAGCGGAGCTGATTCAAGAACGGGACCTCCTCCGTTAAGAGAAAGACTCCCTCTCCGACAAGACGCGCAAGCTTTTAGAGGCAAACAATAAGTTGAAGAAGTCTAAGGAGCATTACAAGAAAGATCGCAAGACTTCGCGTGCTACCAAGGAACGCCTCACAAAGGACCTGACCAATTTCCACAAATCAGAGGCGGGAAAGAATCTTGTGGCGGACACCGTTATCGACACGGTGAAAATTTTGCAACTCAAGTTCCACAATGATTAGCCGAAAGTCGAGTAGAATTCATTGGCTTTTATCGAGTACATTTTGAACTTTATGGATAGTGGCCGTAAGGCGAGCGACTTGGAGCCGTTTGTCGGGCTGGAAGTACCGCCGCCTGCGGAAGATGAGGCGCTCGTTGAAGAGCCACAAGGGGCGCTCGACAAGGACCACAAGTGACGTCCGAAGGCGAGGTCCGAAGTGAAGAGGAAGGCGGCAACCAGTAACTCGACATCGTCATTTGTACTTTGTCATATTCTTATGCCCTTAGTCATAATGTAGGCGTGTTGTTGGTTGTGAGGCGGACTTAAAGTGGGGTGCTTGTTTCTTCGTTGCCTTTGCACGTCTCAAAGTTACTTCTTCCTGCCATGACTTGTTCTCTATCTTGTTTTTGGGCGCTTACCTTATCTCTTCATATATTATAAGTGTTGCAAGTTATGTTCTTCCCTCTCTCGTTTCTCAACTCACGTGGGCGCAATAGTTCGGGGCGCTTTACTAGATCAATTGTCGGGCGCAAGGTATTCAATGCGCTTTACATAACCAGTAATTGGGCGCAAGGTTAAGGGTGCATTGCAATTACTATCTAAACGTTCATGCGCGACCAGGGTCTTTCCCGTGCTGTTCAAACTACCACCCAAGAAAAGAGATTGCTATTTGTCGCCCTAAAATTTCTTATTTGTCGCCCCAATTAAAATAATTTTACTCTAATGCCCTTAGTTTATTTATTTGTAGTTTAACATAGCGTCCCCGACTAGGCACATTTCCTTCCACCGTAATATCTGCTCTGCTCCCTTTCTCCCCCTGGAGTTCCGGCTCCGGCCAAAACTCAATGACTGATAATTGCCTTCGCATCGTCCAAGGACTTCCAACTTCCACGTATTCATTCTCCACATACTCGACTCATTAGATTCCATTCCTGCCTCCATTTGCATATGCATCAATCGCTCTTTACTTATCTGCACTAAAGCTCATCCACCATTATCAGAAGTTAATTTTCTCAAATTCAGTTGGAGAGTGTTCCGTTTTTCATTTCCTTCTTCCACAGCTCACTATTAAGCTTTTCAAAGTCAAACCAAACGGATTAGAGGACAGCAAGAGGAAACTGGCAAAAAGCTCAATCATATCGACATTCCTCATCCTAGAAAGGCCTGAAGCAAAGCAAACGAAGAAAAAAATAAAAAGGTAATTAATGAATTCAGTTCCGGTAGTCTACAGAGCATCTTTTCAGAGTAGCGGAGAGATTTAATTCCTTCAAATATTCTCCCTGGCAAGGTGAGTAAGGGAGGCGTCGGAGCAGGGGAGGCCAGCTTGCAGAGGCCACAGAGCAGGAGTAGGGGCGACGGAGCAGGCGACGAGCAGCGACAGATTTAGATTGCGGTGAGGAAGGGAGTAAATTTGTTTGGTTAGGGTTTAGAATTTAAATTGGGTTGAGGGGTAAATATGTCAATTTGTTGCATATTAGGGCGATAAAATTTAAATTCTAGGGCGACGAATAGCGATTCAGCCCAAGAAAACCCCAAGGCATTTATGTTTCCCCCCTTTTGTGCAAAAATGATTGCATTCCTCAAAATTACAGATAAGAACGCTAGTATAAAGGCGCTTTACAATTACTTACTAATCAAAGTGGCGGACGCAAGGATTATGGCGCTTTACGGGTTCCTAGCCGATTACAATAATAGGGCGCACAATGCATGACGCTTTTCATACTAGCAATTTTGTTTCCCCCTTTTGTGCAAAATGATTGCATTCCTCAAAATGACAGATAAGGGCGCTAGGATAAAGGCGCTTTACAATTGCTTACTAATCAAAGTGGTGGGCGCAAGGATTAGGGCGCTTTACGGTTCCTAACTGATCACAATAATAGGGCGCACAATGCATGGTGCTTTTCATACTAGTATCTCCGCCTACATGCTTGAAACACAGCCAAATGAAGAGAGTTGGGTGCTCCTCTCGCTAAGCACCAACCAAAATGGACGCGCCTGATCCTGCAGACCTAACATCGCCTTACTATGAAGCTTCTACCGCCGCATGGTCGTTGTATACCTTGAGGTTCTGAGAATTCCATGTACGCTTTATAGCTCTGCCCCCAACACGCTCCAGCTTGAAAGTGGCTGGTCCCACCACCTCTCGAACACAGTAAGGTCCCTTCCACTTTGGTGCGAGCTTCCCGTCACTTGCCTTCGGGCGAAAGTCTCGTCGTAATACCATGCTTCCTTGTCATATCTGGTGGGGAAACATCTTGCGGTTGTAATATCTGACCACCTGCCTCTTCATGGTTTCGAGGCGCACTGAAGCGATGTCTCTGTGATCTCCAGCATGTCGAAGTCGTGCAAATGCTCCTCCCCATTGGTCTGCAACTCATAATTCACCATCCTGAAGGTGGGGATGCTTACTTCGACCAGAATGAATGCTTTGCTACCATAGGTGAGGACAAATGAAGTCTCTCCTGTCGCGACCTTGTACGTCATTCGATACGCCCACAACACGCCAGGGAGTTCCTCAACCCATTTTCCATTGGTGCCTAGCAATCTCGTATGAAGGCCGTGCAAGATGATCTTGTTTTCCGCCTCCGCCTGCCTGTTGGCTTGAGGATAT